CCCTAGACCCCATACCCTAAACCCTCAATTCAAACCTATTGTTGCGCCCCCTCGGTTCCCACCTGGCAATACACATCCTCATCTCGGAAGGTCCAAAAATCCCGAAACCTGGGTCCACAGAGCCCAAGCGGCCAGAGCAACAACGACTCGATAGCCATTGTCCATCAAGGGCCGAATGAGACGCTCGACCTTCAACCATACGATGGTGTCGCATTAGCAAATTCTTGTTCATATTGGGAAATCGAAGTCTGGCCTTCGTCTTCAGCTCAAGTCGTCGTATCTGGCCAGTGATGCACACGGCGAAATCTGCCTTCGCCTGATCGAACAAGCTAACCAATACGAGCAAACCAAACAACAGCTTTCTTTACAGCCACCCACCACAGTACAGGCGGTTGACACACCCAGAACAGCCAGCCTGCTCACATCATGCCTTGGCCCCGTCAGAATTTCAAACTGGTCAACATCTCCATCATCTGCATCCCTGAACCAATGGCAGTAACTTCACGCCCTCTCTCCACAGTGCGTGCCGCAAAAAGGCCTTTCATAAAGGCGGGGGGCATGCAGTCTAAGCGAGTGCTTTGGTAAAGCAAGCTAGGGACACCAGCACACCAACGCAGAATCTAACACATCAGAGACTTCAGCTAGAGCCTTGTGCTCAGAAGGGTAGCGGACCCTCGTCCTGTGGTCTGTAAGTTTCTACCTCTGCATCCTAGATTCTGATTATCCAGCGCAGTCACGAGCACTTGAGCGCTAACTCTCATTCACAGCGCAGAGAGCATGGGCAACAGGGTTGGCCCATTGCTCATGCAAGCTTTTGAGGGCATTGGTCAACAGGTTGGCCGCATTGGTTTCCACAAGAAAAGACCGTCTTGACAGCATGACCAGCCTTGACATGTTGCCTCTTCCACATATTTAAACAAACTCCCAAAAATATGTTGGAAGCGCTGAGATTGAGTATTCGGTCTGAAACCATGTCCACTTCAGAAGCAACAGCAAAGGCACATATGCCACGTCATGTTTCAGGGCAGTGCCTGTTCGTTCCAGCGCTGATCGCTCACACGTGGAAAGAATGGCGGAAACTCTGGGCGCCCCCTTCCTAAGATGCAGCGAGAAACCTGAAACACCCTGACACTGCCTACCACAACTAAGGCATACTAAGGCTGCGGATGATGATGACTGATGTGTGTGGCTGTCAGGGAGCACTGTGAGCATGCTGCCATGGCTAATTACGCTGCCAGACCCTGACAGTCGGGAGCAGAAAGAAAACTGGTGGCCGGCGGACCCCAGGTTCCTCAAGATGTTTCGCATCCAGTCGCTAAAGTTATTGACAAAAGGCCCAGAAAGCTGGAGACAGCGGCAGTGTCGACTGCTGAGCCATTGAAGACATTGATCTCCTGGTTGCCCATGACATGGGAATCTGGCGCTGCGCGAGCTCTGTCTGCTGGAAGGCACACGACAGGTCGTGCCATGATGCACTTGCTTGTTGCAAATGGTCATGACCCTGAAGCGTTCAGAAATGTCTCGGTTGGGTGCAGCGCATGGGAGACTTGATAGCAGGTCATGCTATCTACACGCCATGTGAGAAACCCAAGACGCGGTTAGACGGCAGAACAATGCATCCCTCAGTGGTACATTGCCTGCATCCGCCACCCACAAACTGAACCCCCAAATTCTGAACTCGAACTCACAAACCCTGCCCTGCATTTCCGTTTCAAAGCCCACTGCATGTCTCCATCAACTGCTCTGCTGGCACTATACCTCAGCTGTCTCGAATAAATTTTGAACAAATACCTGAAATGCACAAGCACTTGCTCAACAGGCATCCAAGATGCAGCGAACAAGCTTTTTGTGCGCCTTCAGGGCTTGACTCTGCTTGGAACTCGTTTTCCTAAACTTGACCAGGTAAGACGACCTCAAATATACTTTCTCGATGTTGTCACAACGCAGACGACATAGCCGAAAACTCGAAGATGTAAATAAATGTCATACCTCTGCAGAGGCCTGATATTGGTGCGACAGCGGGGAGCGTGATTTTTGTCGAAGATCGAAACCAAGTTCAAGCCGGTCACTTTCTTTTCAGCCGAAGCCACCGGCTTTGAAGTCGAATGGCGTGGGAAAGTCTCTACTCACAATGGCAGTCCGCCAAGCTCGGCCCTGCGGTCAGACGTGGACATTAAGACTGCGAGCGAGAGAGACCTAGGAGCATTTCGGCTGCCAGGCGAGAGAACACACCTTAATCCCTCGTCATGCACGGTTTACAACGCAAGCACCTCCGCATGAGTCTCACAGACAAAGGTGCAGCTGCACGAAGCCGTGCCTCATAAAGCCTGACAGCCTTGTCCGCGCTCATCTTTGCCAACTTCACGCCGCATGGCGCATGCATAGGGGCTGCCATCGACTCATCCCACCTCGTTTTGCTTGCAGTTCAGCGTAGAGTTTGGTTGGGGTCAGGAAATGACAGGAGCAAAAGCCTTCGAGTCTCACAACTTACAGGTGGTGGTCAGATTATGTTGCAAGCGTATCTGCCTTGAATCTGTGCACTTCACAAAATAACATAGAAAAGCCCAAGACTGCCCACATAAATCCTCTCTACCAGGCTTGTGTGAAGGTCAGCAAGGCACACTGACCGAGACCCCCTGACACAGATGTGAATAGCAGTTACACGAATCAAAGCAACTCCAGGCGAGCTTTCACCCAGTCTTCCGCGTCCCGGTCGGTAAGGATGACCTGCACTGGACTTCAATCATCAAGACTGAGGTTTCGGAGAAAGGACGGGCTGCAAGGCTTGACCAACAGAGTCGGGCAAAGCTTGCTCCAAGTGCTGACCGGACCATTCCAGGCCTTGGATCGAGGAGACACAGCATAGAGGTCCAGAAAGTGCTCAGCAACAGGCGTGTCCAGGAGCATGTCATCTCCTCAGCAGTGCTTCAACTTGCCTGAATTATTCTATAGACTTATCAATTTGGAACGTGAGCCAACCGCAAATATTGTGTTTGACTCTGGATGCTATATCTCATGGCCAATGCATCTCTCAACCCCTGAAGCGACCAGAATCGCCAATGCACTTTCGACCCGAAGCTACCGGCCCGATTCATCACTTAAGCGCACTGAAGCTTCACTAAAACCAGAAAAGTTCTGCCTGCAGAGACTCAAGCTGAAGATCTTCCTACATTATTTTGCCAGCGTGACTCCAAAGCTCAGTGCTTCTGAGAAGTTCAGCGCGTCAGAGGCCTTGTGGAGAACTGGGCTTCAGGCGTACAACACACAAGCACTGAACTGCTTTGACCTAAAGAACTCGTTACCACATACGCAATGCCCCTTCCCCTCCGAAATTCACAAAGTAGCCTCAAGGCAGCCGACCGGGCCGCCAGGGTGCCTGAGGTTCTCAAGTTCGTCCATCTTTTGGAGTTTGAACGTTGTGGATCCCGACTGCTTTGAACGGAACTGATGCAAGGGTGCATTGAGTGCACCCAAGAAAGTTGAGTCAGACTGGGGGACATTGAGAGCGTTGCATTCTTGAAAAAGTTTCTGAGTTATACTCAAGGCGTCAGGCCACAGTGCCAATGTGAAGTGCCGGGGCAGTTAAAACCTGAAGTGCGAACGAAAGGCAAGGCGTGCTGCCACAAGGACAGTTCAACGACATTTACACACAAGGTCATTACTGCACACGGACTTTTCGAAAGCAGTGCTATAGGGAGAGCGAGCAAGCGGTTGGGTAGAGGAAAAGCAAAGCGAGCGTCCTCGCACCGGTCGCACTATGTGCCTCTTGAGAAACATGTTTAAGCTTTAACCCTCCAAAGGGACACTGTCGTTCTAGGAGTGTATCTTGCACGGAGCCATCCCTCAAGCAGACAGCGAGGTACCACATGTCAAACACCTGGATGAGCTCAAACCTTTGAGAAACAACGCAACTCTCAATCCCAGTTTTATCTGGAATCGTAGACAGTTGGAACAACAAAACATAGGCTTTGAGGCAGGGCGCCCAGACTTCGTCAGGTTCATGAGTTGGGCCCAGAATGGCGGTATTCCATCAGCTTTCCCTTGCTTGCAGTGATGCACCTGAAGTCCAAGCTGGCGTCCGAAGGCAGCCAATGAGCGTGTGGCAGTGGTGCCTCATACGGCATCAAAAAGGAACTAAAATTTGAGTCAGGTAGGCTGTTTCTGCTTGATGCTGGTAGCTTCACTCCTGACGATGATATATCCACAAATTAAACTCCTCAACTTCTGGGCTTAGTCTTGGGCCTCTGGAGCTTCTACTTTCGGCGACATATGTTCTGGAATCATCTTTTCAGTAAGTTGCCTTAGCCGCATGGCCAAGATGCTTGCCTCAAGACTGGTCTTGCAGAACCCTCAAGCAGCGAGAGTGGCACTCTAAATCTGGGTTTGGAATTTTGAGCTTGGGGTACAGGACAAAATGTTCATTTGAGGAAGGTCTGGAGGGGACTGTAAGACATCCTGGGGTTTGTCTCATCAACAGCATGACCAGGGAAAAGCCTCAATATCATATCGAAAACCGAAACTGGAGGTTCAAGTTGCAGACTTGAAGAAGCAACATCGCCTTCGACATTACTAAATGACTCTGGAATGTCCGTGTGCTCACTGCATGCTAAGTGACCAAAACCTGCCCCAAGAACGACAGAGCCCTCCAGCGTCGGATTCCCGATTCCGCCGAACCGTCCTCGGGTGGAGCAGATTGATTGCTGCACTCACAAAAGACGGCAGCCAAAGAGTGGCTTGACATGCGCATGTTCAGACGCAAACGCATACGTGAAGCTCTGAAGAACAAGAAAACACAAAACGAAAGAAGAACAAAAAAATCAATGACTCAAGTCTGTGCAGGCTGCAGCGTGCTCAAGCTCAACTCAGATCTGATCAACCCTGTACCTTTCCCTACCTTTGCTATAGGATGCTATAGGTGATGCTTTTGTACTATGGCCCCTTGTCCATACCAATTTGCTAGCATGTTGGGACTTCACAGGAGGAATCCCTCCATCGAAGGGTGACTAAGGCATTCGAGGAAAATCGGCAATGCACGGTCAGATTAAGATTGTTCGCGTTGACTGGGCAAATGCAGCTCTGGGTCGTTTCTCCAAGACTTGCGCAAAGCCGGGCAACTCAGCATCCACGCTCGCACCATACTGCGAAATACCTCGGAAGACCCGGCCGTGACGCAGCCCACAACTAAGAAGGGCGAGGCAAGATTTGCAAGTGTTTCATACATCGTGCTATTAAAGTAGATCGTGTTGGCCTATTACAATCGTTTTGGCCACCGTTTACTTGAACTACGTGGGCTCCTCAGGCCCTCGCACTTCCACTGCTGTTCAGAGAAGACTGAGTCCTGGAGCAAACAGTTTTTCTTTGCGCAAACTCTTGTCCGTACGTGCAAGTATCTCCGAAGCAACAATGTTCACACCTCGAGACTGCACAGCTTCATCTTGAAGGCTCCTGCGTGTCCAGCAAAGTTTTGGACGAGTTTGCGCGATGTTGTATCAGGCAAGATGTCTGACCTGACAGTGCGCTCTGGTCGGCAAAGCTTGGATCAAGGCTACGCTGTTGGCTTACAACACGTGAAGTCGGGTTGGTAGGATTGGCAAGTCCAACGTACTTCAACATGGAGGAATGCTAGATCCCAGGTGCCAGCCACAACAAAATACAAACTGCGATTCGACACGAGCATTGACATCCACACATACTACACAATTTGGCCACCAGCAGCTCAAGGGTCCACCTCAGCAACACATCTTCCAATGGCGCATAACCCTAAGCGGAGCTTTCGTACAAGTGCTTTCCATTTTCAAAACTGCTGAGCGACACCAAGAGCCCGACACCATGCAAACAAAATCGCGAAAGATGTGAACTCGGCTTGGGAGAAAGATCGTTGCGGAGGTCCGCAATTGTCCGCATGCTTATAAACAAGTAACCCGAGCAAGGAAAGCCCCGCACCTTGCGTGCTGAATGTCCCAAGTTCACCTGGAGCCCTATATCACAGACTATGTCCATGTCACAATGCCAAGCCCAACCTAATCATGATGCACCTGTCGAGAAATCTGAAATGAAGTACCCAACTGGAAAACCCATTGACACAGAATGCCAAAACAGCTAGCCTTTCTGGGCTGACATTGCCATTAGCACGAAGGGCAAGCCTCACGGCCTAGCACTCCAAATTAACATGTTTCGAAACCAAATCCTCCTACGGAAAAAACCCTTCAGACACCTACGCATTTCTGTCCTGTACCGGTCGCACCTGAGTTGGGCAGCTCGGTTGCCCCCGCTTCAAAACAACCTTACAGCGACGAATGCTGGAAGATTAAGTGCCAACCTTTGATCTACCGAGGCTTTACGAATTCTGTGCGATGTGCAATGACCTGATGAAAAAATTTACAAGAAGGCCAAGCAATCACACTTGTCATAGTGTGGACAAAACCCGGAGCTTGCCACGCAGGCACCATGTTTTGCAGTCTGGAAACTCTGGCTTCGCACCAAGTCGGCCCAGAGAAACACATGGACAAAAGTCTGCACCGTTGGCACAGACGGCGGTTTCATTGTAAAAAGGTCATGGGCCAACACTTGAACAGTGGTGGCTGCGGCATTAAAGAGCACGGTGTCAACAATCCAACGCCACAGGATCCCGCACAATGCCTTCCAACAAGCGCAAGGACGATTCTAGCGGCGATCTGATTCAAGTTTAAGTTTATCGCGTAACTCAAACACCAAAACATACAACAGCAACACGTGGCACATTGATGTCGCGTTTAAGGATATGCTGCAAGAAAACCGTATGGTAGCGGAGTTTGGACTGACCGAAACTTCAAGACATGTTTTTGTGCGGCATTGTTTTTTGCGAAATCCCTTCGAGCAACATGGCGTTTAGCGTGCAAATTCTTCAGCAAATACCCTGCTGCGACCAGCATGCATGAGTCTTTGTGACACGGGCGGCTTCTTTGTAAGACATCACGCGGGCGTTTTCAAATCGGTGCCTCTGCATACCGTTCTTCAAGACTGGTGCCATAACAGTCCAAAAAATCTTACAAGTGGGCTGCATGGAAATGATTTTGCTTAACATCCAGCAAATTTTCGCGTGGTTCTACAAGGGTAACCCCGAGTCAAGCCCAGCATGGTGTTTTGGCCTGCTCAAGTCAGGGGGGAAGATCAAGCAGGTCCCGTAATTTGCCGCGCGATCACAAACCATCAAGAGAACCACGCACTTTCCTTTCCAAGGAAGAGTAGCACCAAGTGGCCCATTATGATCAGTAATATGCAGCTTTCCCATCTCCTTTTCAAAGGCCATGATGAGAATGGATGTCAGGGGTGAAGGCCAAGGGACGAGAATGCACATGCTCAGCATTGAACAAACGAGCAGTTCGGGAATACAATGACGTAGAGGATCTCGTTTTAGATTTGTTAAACAAGCCTTGGGCCACGAAGGGTCAATTTCATAAGCCTGGGCATGGCACCTTCGTCACTCAAAGCCAGATTGTCTCAGAAGGGGGCTCGGGACCACACAGCCCGGTGAGACCTGCTCAGCGCAGGACGGGGTGCACAGGCCTCACGCATGCGGCTGTGTATCTGCCCTCTTCCCATCCAAGTCAAAAATGAAGCTTTGCTGTCCGATTGCTCGTCCGCAAACTTCCACATATATATATGTGTATATATACATTTGAGTTTGGAGGATTGCAAATAAAGTTGATTGGATTGCGCACGCAAAATTTGGATAGTTTTTGCGGCTTAGAAATGTTGAAGATCTGACCCAAGTCCTCATCCCCAACGGTAGCCCAAAAACAAGCCAAACCCCTCCAGCAGGGCGGGTCCTGAGGAGTGGAAAGGTGGGCATCGGAGTTTTTGATTTTGACCTCAGTTTGAGAAAGCAATTTTGCTTTGTTTGGAACGTTGCTTGCGTATTTTCATGAATTACTTAGTTTCATGTGCAAGAAACTTGGCGTAGAACCAGTTGGGAATGTTGTTGGAATGAATCAGTCTTTGTTCGATGCTTCTGCTCTCAGCTCAATTTTTAGTTTCCCACCCAACCCGCCGCTGGAAGGGTCTGGAAGACTAACCTTGACTCACGGATCATTTTTGATTTGGTTTGCTGTCCGATGCGCTGGTCTGCAAATTTCTACATATATACATTTAAGCTTGGAGGACTGCACATAAAGTTGATTGGATTGAGAAATCCAAATTGATTAGTTTGCGGCTAAAGGAACGTTGAAAATGTGACAAGGATCCCCATCCTCAACGTTAACCCGAAGACAGCCCCAGCGTCAGACGCATCAATTCTTGCCGGGATAAAGGTTAATCCTACAGGTAACGGACGTGTCCGGAAGGCTTGCTACAGTTCCGAAGTTGTCCTTGCTTGGGTCAGCAGAGGGGCGAGCTGAAGCATCAGTGACTGAACTGGTACCTTCCCGACTCAGACCGGACAAACCTGTTCAGAAGGTGATTGAAGCCAGAGTGCGAATGGCTTCCATGCGGAGGTCAGACGATCATCTCAGGTGTTCTGCGCTTGGTTTATGTTTCCAACAGTGGTGTTTCTCCCCAAAGCCGGGAGGGCATGCGTGCAATTGAAAATCCCTTTATTTTGGTTTTCATGCTTAACTTCTATGACACTGGAATGCATGAAACATTGATTTTCAATTTACTGCAAGGATGATGACATGACAAAGAGTTGCAAGCTCACATCCTCAAGCCCTCAAGCTGCTAGAAGAAAAAGAAAGTGATCCGGATGCTTCCGGCCTCATTCAGGCTTGCCCAAATTGTTGGAAGTTGGCAAGGACCTGACACCTCCTCAGGCTTTGGCGAACAACACAGCCGAAGCAGAGGACTCGGACTCGGAGGACGAGGTAGGGGACGGTCAGGTCGGCCCGTCGATTCTGCCGGAAACATTCGGACAAAGTCGGACCGTGCGAACTTGGCGGGCACACATACTTTCGGATGTGGCCCACCTCTTGAAGCAGAAGCAGAGCTCTTTCAAGTGTGGCAGGGCATTGACATCGAACATAAGGACACCATTCTGTTTTGTAGAGTTTCACCCTGGGCGAGAAGGTGACCAGGGCCTTCTGGGTTCCGGACGGCTGGGGCGATGGTACGCCTCCTCAACCACGCCGACTGGACAAGGCTGAACACATCTTCAGCACGCTGGGGCGCCGAGCTCCAGTGGAAGGCAGCACCCTCGTCAGATTTATCCATCCAGGCAAAGACCTGGAGACCAAGCCATCCTGAGACAATCATACACAAAGCGACCTGGGGCGTTGCTTTGGACACGGTGAGCGAGCCTGCGTAGGAGTTCTAGATATTAGGTGTCACAGAAGCCCCCCGGGGAAGCATGTACCACCCAAACCACACCCCCCATCAGATGGATCCTCCAAGAGTTGGGGTAACGACAACATCTTTCCCAGTTTGGGCAGCATGCCTTTCAAGACTCGATGTAAATGGATTCCTCACACCCACGCCTGTCATGATTTGGACACAGCCTACAGCTTCGAGGGCCTGGATATTGCGCGTCTGGCTCTCAGGGGGTTATATGAACACTTATACGCCTGCCCAGGGCAGAAACCAACCCAATATGAATGGAGCAGCAAGCTTGGACTGAATCAAGCTTTCAGCCCATGGACATTTTTAGCCACAGCCACCTCTGGGTCTCCATGGCAACCGAACATGGTCACACTGTTTGATCCAACAGCTCGAAAAGTGTTCTCCAACGCAAGCGTCAGCTCCAAAATCAGCCCAAAATCTATATCGTTCGAATTGGTAGCATCTTGAGGCCA